TGGACGGATGGATGCATGGATGGATGTACGGATGGATGATGGATGTATTGTATGTATGCATGCCTTCCGTCCTGTACAAGTACGCAGTCTCGTAAGGCGCCGGCATGGTGCTGATGTCTTTCTCGTTGTACGTGGCATCGGCGGTGACCCAGCTAGTGCTCCGTGCCTAAACACTTGGGGACAATATTGACAATGGTGATAACCACCAACAGGGATAGGGATGATGACGTTAAACTGCAGACCATAAAATGATGATGAGGAGGAGGACGACGATGATGATGATGCTGATGATGATGACGGTGACGATGATGATGATGAGGAGGATGATGAGGAGGATGACGATGGTGATGATGATGATGAGGAGAGGAGGGTGACGAGGATGATGAGGATGATGAGGAGGATGATGTCGTTCATGCTGATGTCGATGGTGATGGCAAGAACACTCGAAAGAAGATTGATCAAAACACTGACCATAATACGGACGACACGAGAAGCCATGCCAGGCCCTCCAGCGGAACTGAAGGCCGGACGCCCACCACATGAGACAGGAATGGGTCCGAGTGTGAGACTCCAGTTTGATCGATCGCTTCGAGGTCTGGGTGGCTTGGCGCTTGTTCCACAACCAACAAGCGACGGTGAAATTGTTCGCAAGGATCCAGGGTCTTCAAACCTAGCAAGAAACATGCGGGTCCAACCTTTGGCTCTCTCCTGGAAGCGTCTTGGATTGAGTGCTGATTCAAGCGATCGCTTAGCACACGAAGTGTAAGTGACGGTAGGCCATGTTTCTTTAGCAAACCAAAACCAGGACCAGGAATTGCGTCAGTTCAGCCTGACTCGCCGGCGAGCTTTTGATCCGACCCAGGGGCCTTTTTCGAAAGTACAAACCTTTTGCAGTACCCGCACCTGCATTGGTTCGCAAACCTGGGCTCTACCTCAACCTTGGACCTCGAAGCTTAGGAGTTACCATTGCGTGCAGGAACAGAGAAACTAATCGCTGCAGCTGAAGTTCCCGATTGGCATAGCCAGTCAGGAGCTGGCTCCTTGAGTTGACCCACGCGTGCGGCCCCCATCGATACTGATGCACTTGCTGCTTGTCAACACTGAGAGTTGAGGTCGCCACAACAGCTGGTGAGCTTGAGCAAACGGGAGAATGGCCTCACGGAAAATCTGATCGTAAGAATCGCTTTGACCACATGCAGTTAGAATTGCCAGATGAACCGCCCCCAATCCACCCTAACTCGATGCAAACCCACTGCACCTCCCTGAACAGGTAACACTATGTTTGCCCAGCGTCGCCAAAGAAACGGCGCAGCTGCTGTCTGAAGCCCTCCCAAGTGCAGTCTCTCCTGTCGGATCACGTCTCCGTTTGTATCTCGTGTCGTGTTGGCTCCGTTTCTTCAATTTCTGCACATCAAACCATGTGGATGCAGGGCTGTCCACCAAATCGCATCAATTCGCTGCATCATTTCATCGCGAATCAGCCGGCGAAACTCCAATCCGCCTCGGTAGCGAGTTCTCAGGATCCGGTTACGGGGCTGGGCGGGGGGGGCGGTGGCACATAAGAAATCGCAACTATAGCTACCTTCGTATAGCCCGTCCTCCAAATAAGCTCGAAACTCAGGTCTGAAGGCACTCATAAAGCCTTGAGTCGAGCTGCGGTCTGGGTTCACGTACATGCGTCCAAGAAGGCCGTAAGCTTTGGCGAGCATGCGCAGCTCGTCTGTCTGCCGGCCTCATGTAGGATTAGTGTTATTTTGTTGCTGCTCTTACTATACTTTCACCTTTCATCCGCATGACTATTGCTGTGATTCTTCAACACTTACAAACTCTTGTATTTGTTGCTGCAAGTAATGCTACTGCTAGTGCCCTCGTTGTCTTTGTTGCAGCCATGCCCGTGTTTATGCTTAGGGCTTCGTGTTGCCACTATCATTATCATACTGTCTGTTCTCTTCCCTCAGCCCTAATGTTGACTGGCTCAGGCTTTTACAAAGGCACGGTGTTTTTAGTTGTTTCCGGCATCAACCAATTGCGTCTTGGGCAGTCCTGCAGAGGGACTCGGGCCGAGTTTGACATTCAGGCCTACTGCTACTGCTACTCCTACCACTACGACCACGGCGACGACGATTACTAATAAACTACAAAACCATTGCCACTACTTCTACTGCTACGACTACCAAAACTGCTACTCAGAATGCTGCTGCTGTTACTCGTGTTACTACTATTTCTAATGACACTACTACTACTACTACTACTACTACTACTACTACTACTACTACTACTGAAAATAATCACAATCATAATCATAGTACTCATAATCGTCTTTGAAAGACCTTCCAAGTTAGACAACCCAACCCTAAACCCTAAAC